TCATCCGCCCTTCCAACGTAACGCCACACCTCACCCTGTCCTCCGTCAGCACTCCACTACTCATCATGGGAGCCTGACACAGCACGTTCAATCGCTTGTGCGCACCTCCCGCTTTCCTCCTAACATTGGCTTGAATGGCGAGTCCATACATGGAAGACAAGTCCGGTGTATGGATGTGTGTGTTTTGGCGATGATTAGACTTCAGCCTTTGTGGAAGCAATGAAAAGCTGCTAGCCTCACTCTTGTGCCAATCGCTGCACACAGTCACATCAACATCGGTGCTGCCAAACTTGCCTTTTTTTTTGGATGCTTTTTCATCCCATTCCCCTGGCGACACAGAACGTGACAGGAATTTTAAGCGGGGCACACACACAAACAATAATCAGGGCAAATTTGAGCATTGTCAACGCGCTTCAAAGCCAAAGTCAGCAATGGCTTGATTGTTGCAATGCCTCAAAAAGAGTTTTTTCTGTTGTGCGGGTTGTGTGAAGAGTCCTTTTCCCCATCACGATCTGCTGGGGAAAATGGTTGCGATCGCCAATTGTAAACGTTAAACTCGTTCGATATTGACAAATTGCGATGTGTGGTCGGTAGTGATGAACCAAGCCGCGGACGGAAGATTGGCTTGTGAAAATGGATGAGACTTTGAAGCTTGCTTGCGCTGTTGCCGGACAGATTCGAGGAGCAACGGTTTTGTTTGTATAACTTGTCTCACAAAAGAATCGGCCACAGGAAAAATGATAAGATTTCGCTAGCATATTGTAATTACGGGATAAGCTAACAGTTAGCCTAGCTGCTTTGATTTCTTATCCATGGAACCTACTCTCGGCTAGTCAATGAAAAATTCACCTACTTGCAGTTTTTATGCTCTGTTTATGCAATGCTTCACAATGCCACAAGATGGTGCTAAAGCCCAATAATGTCAAAAAAAAAAAGATGACATACACATCTATACAATTGAGTGGTAGCATTCTTTTAAAGGAAGGATGACGCCAGTGTGCTTTTTCCCGCTTTATTTTCTTTCCGACGACCCTCTTAATAAAACGGAATAAGTCTTGTGAGTGCAACATTTCCCTTTCACTCTTTGCCCGTTTGGCGCATGAGTGGGTGGGCTGTCTGACATTCAAGGGGTGAGAAAGCGCGAGAGAGGGACGCGTGACGTAAATGGCTCTTGCGCGCCTGCTTCTGAATGGTTTGTCGGCTCGATCCGGCGGAAGCGTCGGCTCGGAAATCCGCTGACTGACAAGCGCGCCGGCACACAAGACGTTGCCGCGGCGACTGAGTGGAGAAAAAGCATCTTCCAGCAGAGCGGAGGATAAGTAGACTGTTGAAGAGAAGAAGGTCGTGAACCCAGTGAATGACAGGAACCTCTATAAAAAGGCAGTCTATTGAATATAATTTATAATAGACCTTCAAAATGGAATGAAACCCATCCATCCATCCATTTTCTAATCCGCTTATCTTCACAAGGGTCTTGGGCGTGCTGGAGTCTTTCCCAGCTGTCTTTGGGCAGTAGGCGAGGGACACCCTGAACTGGTTGCCAGCCAATCGCAGGGCACACATACACGAACAGCCATTCGCACTCTCAATCACGCCTCGGGAGAATTTAGATCAGGGGTGTCAAACTCATTTTTGTTGCCGGCCACATTGGCGTTACGATTTCCCTTGGAGGTCCGTTATGATGGTGAATTTTTTTGAAATTCTATAAATGTTTAATCACCTCCCCATATTCCATACACGGCACCCAACAAATTGATGGATAACTCGTTTTAAAATGAGAAGTCAAGTTGTTTAAACATTGTTTACATTAATGTAATAAGGGGTTTGGTAGTGAGAAAATGTTTGCAATATCATATGTTATTGTGGATTACATATGAGAATTTTGGTTCAGAGTTTAGCAAGTATCATGCTTGAACTTGACATGCTTTGATTTGCTCACGTAAAATGTTGTGGTGGGCCAGATCTGGCCCAGGGGCCTTGACTTTGACACCTGTGATGTAGAGTGTTCCATTAGCCTGCCATGCGTGTTTTTGCAATGTGGGAGGGGAGGAAACAGGAGTACCCGGAGAACACCCACACAGGCACGGGGAGAACATGCAAACTCCACATGGATCAAGATCACAAGCTGTGAATCTTAAACATACATCCCAGCAGAACAAAGGCTAACAGCGCCCCTTTGACCCGCAGAGCGTGTCTTCATCACACTCGCGTACACGCGCCTAAGTTTGCTCCTGTCATCCCATCACAGCTTTAACGCGGCTGGAATCGAACCCTGCACCTCTGCACTGTGTGGCCAACGCGCTAACCGGTCACCCACCGTGCCACCCTGTGCCAATATCAGTGGATTTCAAACCACCTGATTCATCGTTTGGGGCGCAATAAGAAGTATCGAGCAGTATTGTGTGAATGAATGTTCAGTGTAAATCAGCACGTCACAATCGGAGGCGATCGAATGATCTCTGTGGCTCTTATGACAGAGTCGTGATGGCGCATGCTTTTTTTTTGGCCATGCGTGTTTTTGCAATGTGGGAGGGGAGGAAACAGGAGTACCCGGAGAACACCCACACAGGCACGGGGAGAACATGCAAACTCCACATGGATCAAGATCACAAGCTGTGAATCTTAAACATACATCCCAGCAGAACAAAGGCTAACAGCGCCCCTTTGACCCGCAGAGCGTCTCTTCATCACACTCGCGTACACGCGCCCAACTTTGCTCCTGTCATCCCATCACAGCTTTAACGCGTCATCCGTCGTCCGAGATGAGCAATGATGCACAATCGGAGGCGATCGAATGATCTCTGTGGCTCTTATGACAGAGTCGTGATGGCGCATGCTTTTTTTTTGTTTTTTTCCAGGAAAGACCTTGGAGCGCTGCATGATGGGATATCGGTCAGAGCCCCCGAGCTCTGCGTTGACACCTCCCTCTCGTTAACTTTGCTTGCCTCTTTATTCCCCCCATGATGGCCTTTCCTCCATCTTTCCATTTTATCTCCCGCCTCTCCGTGCTTTTATTACCCGGAGCACACCGGAGTGGCCATTAGTCTTCCAGAGGCGTCTTATTTCCTGTGCAGGTCTGCAGGCTGTTGTGAGGCAGGAAAGGAGTGAAACACCTTAGCGCTGATCCTTTTGGCCAGCGCAGCTTGTTCTGGGACTTGTTTTTTGATGAAGATTTGACAAAAACAACTTGATTTGAGATGATTCCAGAGGAAATTTTGACGTCTCGGTCAAATGTCCCCGAAGTGGGACCGTTTGGAGTTCAACCACGATTTTCTGGAAAAACAGGCCTCTGAAGTCAAGCTAAATTTTAGGTGTGACGTCAGCCGATATCACGAGACACCTCAGTCATTAGCTAAACGATAACTCAACAACGTTTTGCTTTTTCTTTGGCTTTTGTGTGCGCTTTTTTAAAAAAATCAATTAATTTTAATTCGAAACTTCTTAAATTCAAAGTAAAATGCTAATTTATGATTGGATTTACATATGTTGTTTGACAAAAGAAAAAGCACTTACAGTATTTTCACATTGTCGAGAAAAAGATTTTTTGTAATTATTTATTTGGAAGTTGATGTTTTTTTTATATCTATAAGTGAAGAAAAACGATTAACGGGGAAATCAGGGGAACAAAAATGTGCGATTTTATCCTAAGTCCAGCCAAAGAAGGGTACCGTGAGTAAACATGGGCTGAGCATTGATTTGTTTGACCATAACCAAGTTGGAGCGGCCTCTTTGTTGTTATTTGCCTCCATTTAAGGTTTTTTTTTTTCCCCCTCCTCCTTGGCAGCAGAGTGGGGAGGGGTGAGCAGTTACACACATGGAGCAGAAGAGAGGGAGCAAGACAAGAGAGACCCTGCGAGGGGTGAGCAGTTACACACATGGAGCAGAAGAGAAACCCTGAAAACACAAAGGCCTTTTTGTGCTGATCAATGTGCCAGGGGCTGCTACTTAGCTCCAAGGACAACATGGGCAGCCCACGGGTTTGTTCTAAAAATAGCTCACCTACGATGGGACACTGTGACTTACTAAGAAGAATTAAAACGGAAGATATTCAACATTTATTTCATTATTTAAATTTGACATCATATGTGTTTCCCCTGCGCCAAAAAAAGAAATTTGTTTGATTGTGTTAAATGGAATTAAAAAAAAAAAAGTTTAGTTCCCCAAATATTTCGAAAAAAAGGACATTTTAGAGTTTTAACTTTTTTATAGTCACACTTTTTTTTTTCTTCTGCCATCACAATTACAAAGCCAAACAAAAAAGCCTTTGGAGGCTCCTTCAGATGAAGTCTCATGTGAATTTTAAGTTTTGTTTGACTTTTGGGGTTTATTTTTTTCCCCAAAAAGGATTAGGTTGACGTCCAAATTGTACAACTTCTGACTTTGGAGGCTCTTATCAATCCTCGCTGTTCTTTGTCCATTTAACACACGCTAGTTTCTGGAGGCTCTTTCACTCCAGTTGTCATTTTTCCATTTGATTCAGAAATTTTGTTTTGCCGTTTGGTTTTTATACTTTGCCTCTGCAGCCTGTTCATTGCCGCAATACGTCTTTTTTCTCAGGTTCAGCTAGAGTTAGTGTGGTGTGTATTTTCTTTGGGATACTTGCTGACACAAACACACACACGCACACGCACACATACTTACCTGTACTTTATTTACTCTTTTCTTTTCGGCCAGTGTTACCATTTTTTCTTTTTCTTTTATGGACAGCAACCTCTATTCGTCCTTTAGTGCACTATTTAACCACGCACACACTTGCAGACATACGTTTTGTCTCAAAGGGACATCTTTGTTTAATTGTGTTTGCGGTCTAGAAATAGCCTCATCCCTTCTCGGTGGTCATAATTAGCCCAGCCGATGCTTTGAAACACTCGGACAGAAAATGATCATTCCATAAAATAGAAAACCACGCGCACAACGGAGTGACACTTGAATGAAAATCACACATTTACACGACATTATCTGACGATTTTTTTCCTCCCCCTCTGTCTTCTCTCTTCCAGTGATCTGCTGTCTTCGGAGTATGTGGAAAAGCATTTGTCAGCGAAGGGGAAACCGGTCGTCACTGCTGTAAGATTCTGCAAATTGTTCTTTTTCTTCTTCTTCTTCTGTCAGTTTGGACACAACACCATCTTTTGTGTGTGTGTGTGTGTGTGTGTGTGTGTGTGTGTGTGTGTGTGTGTGTGTGTGTGTGTGTGTGTGTGTGTGTGAACACTTTCTCTTCCTCATTGTCATCATCAACCGGATGTGTTTTTAACCCTTTCATGCACCAAGAATGAAAACCTGTAACCCGATAACATGATAAGCTGTCCACCGTCGTGACGGGCCGTCCCTGAAAGGGTGAACACATTTTAACACAATTATCTGATCATGATATATTGGCATTGACCGCAGGCCTCAGATGTCTGCATTCTTTCGTTCGCATGTTAGCGCTGCCATTTTAAGTTGATTTGATATTACACTTGGAGTATTTCTTCGATTCATTTTATGGATATTTTTTTCTACTTTGAGTTCATTTGTTGTAATGTACTTTTTGTTGTTTTTCTTTATTTATTTATTTTTACTTCAGTGGCCCGAATGTGTAACGTGTTCCAATGTGTTACCAAATAACAACACAGTAACCAATGAAATGCACATCGTGTTTCCTAAGGGTTCATTTTATCCGGCTGAAAATAAGTACAAGGCGAAACCAGAAAGTATGGACGCATTCTATCAAGCGTGTCACAACCCTTGGGTAGCGCCAGCGTGGACATTATTAGCCCTCGCCCCACCCAAATGGAACAGGGCCATAATCAATTGTATTTAAGACCCGTGTTTACCCTGCAGCTAAACGTCAAAGCAATGAAAAGGTCATATTTGACATTTTGCGATCACTATGTCTCCAGGAAGCCGCACACACTACTTTGTGTGTGTGTGTGTGTGTGTGTGTGTGTGTGCACTGCTTTGTATAGCTGTAAATATTCTATAGATGGAAGGAAATTCAGTTGATGAAATAAATGCAGGGCATGAGAATCACTAAAGGACTGCAGCATCCTTGCAGCAGCGCAGTCACCAGCCACTGCTGGGGAATGCGATGTTGCGCAACTAAAGCTTGAATGTCCAAGCATGTCCGGCATGCTTTTAACGCCGTGAACCAGGCGGGCGGGCGTATTGCGGTGCGGTGCGTCGCTATGCGCTGCATCACGGCGGTAATTGATCCTGATAAAAGCTGAGTTCCCTTTGGGGGAGTGAGGCTTCCTGACTTTCTAATGGCTGTTTGGCAGCGGGGAAACAAGCGGGAAGAGTTGGCCCCCACCGAGCACTTAGACCATGTACACTTACTTCTTTGGGAAAATGAATGTGTTTACTTGCAAGGGGCAAGAGAAGTCGCACGCAGACAGAGAGGTTGGAAGTAAAGAGGGAGATGATGTGCTGAAGTAGCGCACCAGGTCACACATTCATGCGACACAAAAATGCATCGTAATAGCACCGTGCCACGTATACGGTCTGGAGAAGTTCATTTCCCTGATAACATGAAAAAAAACGTCAAAAAATAAAATCACCAGAGATGTGCAATGTCTAATGTTGCGTGTTTGAAAGTCAGGTGCAAAGCTGCACATGTGGCACTGCCATTGAAGAGAACGTTTCTGCTTGTGGAAACATTTTTGAAATGCCAGAAACAAAAATTGTCACGACATATCGTTTATTCTGCGATGCAATTTTGGAGCTTCTGAATGATCTAAGGCAGGGGTCCCCAACATTGGGTCTGCGGGACCCTCCAAGGATCAGATGAGTAGCCTGCGGGCCTGTTCTAGAAAGAGCTCACCGGTGATGGGACATTGTGATTTCCTTGGAATGTTGTCAAAGAGATCAATTGAAAAATGTAGTCAAATCATTGCTGATGATTCTTTTTTTGCAAAAATTGTTAACATGATCAGTGTTGTCACACTGATGAAAATAATCAGTTATTAACCCTTTCAGGGACAGCGGTTACCACAGTGGACATCTTATCATGGTATCGGGTTCCAGGGTGCATGAAAGGGGCAATAGTAACGTAATTTGTGTACATTTATTTTGAAATAGCTCTCTGTTTTAAAAAGTGTGGTGACCCGTGATCTAAAGCTGACTTGAAGTCAGTCACAAGTAGGAGTCATGCCACGTCACCTGTGACAAAACTCCTTTCAACTTTGCATTTCGGTGCATCTCGGTATTTCAGCACAATGTGTTTTCGGCTCTTTTGTCTCAGTTTTAAACACAATGCTCTGCTAGATGGGCAGAAACATCAAGTTGCCAATCACTCAAGGTAAGTTAAATCAAAATACGAAATATGGCTTTTCGCTTGCCGGCTTCCCCCAAATGATTACAGTGATCGATTTATGTTCTTTCACTCAGTAATACCGCATATTTGTTTGTTTGTCTAAGAAATGAATACAATTTCATGAACCTGATATTATAATCTTCTGATTTTGTTTAAGCCAGCAGAGAAGGCCTTGTTGATAGGAGACGTTTTCGAATTTAAGCCAATATGTAATCCTGTGTGTGTTTACAGGGAGGAGAGCACTGCTACTACCACGGGAAAGTCAGAAACATTCCTCGCTCCTTCGCAGCCCTTTCTACTTGTCACGGACTACAGTAAGTACTTATAATACACATGCGTAAGTGAGTATGCATGCTGAGTCACATCACTATCTCGCAACGACATCCACGCTGATTCAATTTAGCCGGCTTCTGTTTTGTTTTAACATTTTAAATCAGACAGGTAGTACAAACCATCTCTGTTCAGTACCCTTTATGAGGGAGTAACTATGTTGCATGTAATGCGGTAATTCTGTGATGCTGCAGTTTGGAACCGATATTGTCGTGATATAGACAGAAACAAATGTGCATTCAAAATGAAATTTTTGACGATGTTGTCAAGTAAGACTTTGTTGGAAGTAGGGATACATTTATGAATAGATTAAAACATTTCGGATGCATTACTCGAGGTCTTTGATCGGGACTCGATATCGGCAGAGATTCAAAATCAGGTGACTCGGACTCAGGTATCAAAATTTTTTTTCGCAAATCATTTTTATCATGTGGGCGGCTCCGTAGTCGAGTGGTTAGCGCGTCGACCTCACAGTGCAGAGGTTGTGGGTTTGATCCCGGCTTCGGCCTTCCTGTGTGGAGTTTGCATGTTCTCTGCGTGGCTTTTCTCCGGGTACTCGGGTTCCTCCCACATTCCAAAAATATGCATGGCAGGTTGATTGAACACTCTCAATTGTCCCCAGGTGTGAGTGTGAGCGCGGATGGTTGTTCATTTCTGTGTGCCCTGTGATTGGCTGGCAACCAGTTCAGGGTGTCCCCCACCTACTGCACAAAGACAGCTGGGATAGATTCCAGCACCCCTCGCAACCCTAGTGAGGATAAAGCAGTTTGGAAAATGAATGAATGAATGAATTTTTATCATGTAGTACAGTCAAGTCATCATGACTGTTTTTAACATACATGAAAATATGTCCGTTTGCTTTTTTCAAACCCTTTGAGGGACAGCGGCTACTCCAGTGGACAGCTTATCATGTTATCAGGTTACAGAGTGCATGAAAGCATTAAATTAAAAACTCCACTTTTCATGTCCATCAATGAACATCAGCATCTACTAATACTCAGACAAGTAGAGCGGAGGGCCGTACGATCTGTTTTTATGAAAGGAATATATCACAGACGTATTATGAATATGAGCAAAAAAGTCTAACATCGGTCATAAGACCACATGTTGTCGCCAGTTGCAGCGACATATTTTTTGAGGTGGTTTTTTTTTTTTTTTTGGGAGGTGTTTACAATAAACACTCGAGGCTGGTCCTGTGGTTTCAAGGGTAACCTGGATGAGTGTATAAATATGCAGCACAAAAATATTCATATGCCAGGTGTGATTCATTCCAAGTGTGTGGGTATGTCGTCTTGCAAGGTGCATTTTAATTCATGTTTGGATGTCGCGTCTGGACACTGTCAAATTGAATGACTCAACTCTAAATACAATAATCAACATGATATGGATGATGTATTTGGGTATTCACCGTATGCATATGCAATGTAGAATCTATCTCTGTGCAGCTAATGAAATCATCCGCATCCGTGCATCTGTTTTTTTGGAACAACGATTCATTGGCGTGTCAACTCATCAATGTTGGCAAGAAAAATCTTCTAATCGTGCTGTATGCAAATGCTGAGCAAGCCCAATCAAGCTTCGTCGTTTTAACAACTTCATTCGATGGCGTTATCTCACCCAAGCAAATTTGGATTTGTGCGTGCGTCCGGGCGGAGGCTGCACAGCAGTGTCAGACATTGCAGAGAGAGCACTTCCCAGAAGCCACGTCAGGTATTTTCCATTATATACATCCTGCTCTCCCCTCTTTGTGTGTTTTAGGCACGCACGCACACGCGACGGAAACTTAAACCTACACTGCAATAATAGCTCTTAACCGCATACGGGCGGCTAATGCTCCTATCGTCAGCCGTCCTGTGAGATGATCGTTCACCAATAGCTCGGGTTTGTTTTCAGAACGCCAATACATGTAACGCATAGATGGGAATGATTATCATATGTTGTATTCTTCGCTTTACTGTACAAACGCAGCCTTGAAAAGGAATGAAAGATTTCAAATTGCCCAAACTATTGCTAAAAAATGTTCAAGGTCTCATCTTGTTTTTTTTTTTTTTCTTTCAAGCATGCAAGTTGCCAAAGTTAGTCTGCAGAGGCACTGGGTTACTTTTTATCCTGTTTCGAAGGCTCAAATAGGAACCGGGTGCTTCGAGTACCGGTACATTTTATTCAATCTGTCCCACAATTGCCAGTCACTGCGAGGCAGTGACTGGCAATGAGTCAAATATTTGGTTTCCATAACTTGGCCTGTATCACTTTCTGTGTGTGTAATTTATGTCGCTTCAACGTTGTCCATGATGTGCTATAAAGATAAGGAACCGGGTGCTTCGAGTACCGGTACATTTTATTCAATCTGTCCCACAATTGCCAGGCAGTTTTGGCAATGAGTCAAATATTTGGTTTCCATAACTTGGCCTGTATCACTTTCTGTGTGTGTAATTTATGTCGCTTCAACGTTGTCCATGATGTGCTATGAAGATCCTTCAAAAGTATCAAATTTGAGTTTGATAAAAGTCAAGTCATATTTTTTTGATTTAGTACTAGGAATGTCAAACTTATTTTTGTAGCGGGCCTCATTTTAACCCGTTTCATTTGGAGGGCCGTTCTGACTGACAGCAGAGAAAAGGCGTCAAGAATAACGGTTGATTCAACTGTTGTGTAAGTTACTGTAATGAGAGGTTTGGTCACAAGAAAAAAAGCTGACAATATCGCTCTTATTTGTTACATATGAGAATTTGAAATTTTGGTACAATTTTTAGTAAGCATCATGGAAGTTGATGTGCTTTTGCGGGACACATAAAATGATGTGGTGGGACAGATCTGGCCCCCGGGCCTTGAGTTTGACAACCTCGGATTTAGTATACCCAAATTTATATGGGGAAAATCTCTTAAAGTATCGTCAGATATTACTGAGGCCATATCAACCACTTGAACTGACATTCGGTGAAGGAGAGGCGTTAAATTTGAACTGACTTTTTCTTTTTGTCCGATTTCAACCTGCAGATGTCATGTTTGATATCCTGATCGAGAGTTTCGTTGTTCTTCTTGAGTTTCATTGTTGTTTTTGATTTAAAAAAAAGTAAAAAATAAAAAGTGTTAATCGCGCTTTATGCGAATAGAGTGAATTTCTTATATAAGTCTTACAATGAAAGAATTGAAATACTCTATTAGCCAAATGGATGCAAAATATTCTGAATGCCGAAGCACCAAAATTTCAGTCACTGCGGACACTTTTGGTTCCTTTTTCAGATGAGTGAATTTTCACCATGGATAACTAACTAAAGATCGTTTTGACTTCTCTTTTCTACATATTGAGGATTCAAAGTCAGAGGAAAAAGAGATGAATTGCGGGCAAGAGTTCACCCTTCCTGACACAGCCAATCTCCTAAAAGCTGGAGATAAAGTTAATTAACGGACGTGGCACGGTCACTTCAGGTGCTCGTGGGCTTATGTCGTCGGCAAAGACCTTCACACAGCTGCTCCATGAGAAATTGATCTCTGACTTATTAAAAGGAGTGCTCGTTTCAGTGACGTGCCTGTACTGTACATGTGCGTTCGATACCATAGCCTACGTCAATTATTTGAGGACGGTCAAGCGTTTGAGTTCAATGACTTTCGGAGTCACTGAACGCCAACAGTGCTAGCTAAAAGCGCTGACACTTACGTTTTTGTGTTCAAATACAAGAACCAGTGCGATGTATGTCAAGATATGTCCTATATTATGACATGTCACATACGTACCGATTAATCAATGAAGAAAAAAATATATATATTTTTTTGCTCATTTTTACAGTTTTTTTGGGTTTTTTTTTTTAACACATAAGACAAAGATAATGACATTCAAAAACCTTCCCCACCAAAAAAATAAATAAATAAAAGCCACATTTTCTCTCTGTTGTAAAGTTAAACAATAACCAAGGGATAAAGTATTGTCCAACAATCGAATGTTCTGCTTGTAATTCATATCCATATTGTTGGAAGCGTTAAGGGAACAGACATTTTTTATTCATTAATCGGTTATCTGAGTTTTATTTTGCCAAATATCAGAATCACCATCAGCATAAAAAACCATCTAGGTCTGGCCCTAATATATAGATACATGTGCTTCTGGGTCACCACAAATAAACTTCAGCTGTTCAGGTGGCCTTATACTGGCATTTTTTTTTCCTTTTCATTCTAGCAGAAGCCGGAACATCTTGCGCAAACAATGACTGCTTTTTCGAACTGTTCATAATTCCTTCCATGTCTCGCCGAAGAAAAAACAGGCCTTAGACTTCCAGCATGATATAGATTATTGGTGGAAAAAGTTTTTCTTGGTCTCATTTTTTTTTTTTTTTAAATCTCACAAAAACCCGGGATTTGAACATGCCTATGCAGACTTTTCGTATCTACTGTATCCAGAAACGGAGTGGTTATATTTACCAAATGAAAGGACAGGCTTGTGCATTCCTCGAAAGTATTGAAACAATTGCTCAAGTTGCCAACACCGGGCGGCGGCAACACAGAATGTAACAACAATCCTCCGTCCTTTTGAAATGATGAATACAACCATCGCTATGTTTGTGTTCACACGTATGTCTCGCTTCACTCTGTTTCAGTGGGATGTTCTTCGATGGCAACCACACGTATGTGATTGAACCTGGAGCAGACGGCGGCGGCAACAAAGTAAGCGATGTCATCCCTTCACACCCACGATGATGAATAATATAGGCCCCGGGATGGGAGATTGAACGGGATTACGGGATTGAAACAGGGGTCAACCATTGTTTGGAGAGGATCACGAGACAAAAAGTCACTTGCACACACGCCCCAGCCATATGAGGGCCATTGCCAATTTTTCAGCAAACTCTGGACAAAGCAATGCGCTCAGTTACAAAGAAGCCTTCTGCTAATTAGATAATAACGATTAAAGGCATTATGGTCGAAAGGAGAGGATGGATCTGAGATTGCCTTGAGACACCCGAATACTCAAATAGTGTGTGTGTGTGTGTGTGTGTGTGTGTGTGTGTGTGTGTGTGTGTCCGCACTAATTAAAATGTCCAGGAGATGTAAGTGTGTTTCTACTGTTAATAAGCAAAAAGGAGATGAGATAAAAGAGGTAAAGGACTTTGGCTTATGCTTCCATCCATACTTAGCTCATATGACAGATTTAATGGCTGGGCCACCAAACGCTCAAGGTCGGAGAATAAAGGCTGCAAATGAAACACAGTGGAAGGCCAAGCGGAGATGAAACTGAGTAGACAGTGGTACCTCTACTTAAGAAATTAATTGGTTCTGGAAGAAATTTCTTAACTCGGAAATTTTGTAAGTAGAGACGCGTTTTCCATGTAAATGCGCTAATCCGTTCTAAGACCCCCCAAAATTCAGACATAAATGACACAGGTCAGCATAAATACTGGGACACAGTTCATCAAATATGTACGGAACCACCAAAGAAGTGTGATTCGGTCAAATCTAAGGGTGGGCCTAATTTTCGGATTTTTCACGAGACGTAAATTCATACCTGTCAACCTCGGCTAATAGCTGCCCTTATAAATGATTACGATTCCCCTTACAAAGCAACAAAAACCCGTAAAACGGCTTACCGCGCATGCACACATCATGGGCTTACTGCGCATGCGCACATCATGCTTTATCAATCCGACCGTATGCAGCGATGAAAATAAATATATGATTGAGGATTACTTTTGCTGGTTTGCCGTGACAATAGCAGCGATCGACGACGGCATTGTCGTTGGCTACCAGCAGGTGAGACGATCTGGATTTGAGCCAAAATGGTCTTTGTGAGATCGGTTCACAATTGTTTTTTTTTCCCCGTATAAAAGTTGTAATACGCCGTACATGATTTGAAATGATAAAAAAAAACAATAAATAAAATACGGTGAAAACGTACAAGTTGACAGGTATGTGAGTTACATAGAGATCCATTTGCAAAAGTTCCATTTGCAAAATATGTCAGACCAGCTCGGCGACGCAGTGCACGCACACTAAATACCCCCCCCCCCCATTGCAAAAGTTCCATTTGCAAAATATGTCAGACCAGGTCGGCGACGCAGTGCACGCCTCACACACTAAATACCCCCCCCCCCCAAAATATGTAACTCGCTGCCCATTATTACGATGACTGTATTGTTTTTGATCGGCGTTTTGCTCCAAGTCACATCAGCACATGGAAATGTTCCTCACAGGTGAAGGCAAAAAGTTTACTTGCCCCTATCCTGTTCTCACCGATGAATGTGACATCATGTCGACGTTTGGCCGTTATTGTAACGTAGTCGGGACTCATATACAGCCGCTGGACGGTCGGTGAGCGTATATGGGGCAGGTGTGAAAACTGCCCAAGTCTTGTGTTGGTGGTTGGTTGTCCATCTGTTGGTTCGTTGACAGATTTCTTTTTCATGGAGGACGATGAACAGATGGGTGGGACCATTCTAGTTCCGCGGGGTGGATTGATACCACAGTGACTCGAGTAGCCAATTAGTAAATTAGAGTACCGGTTCCTTTGAGGTTAGATTTGTTTTTAGAAATGCACGCAGGCCCTCTCGGGACCTGTTTTAGTTTCCACACACCCGCTCTAAAAGCTTCTAAAGCGCCATTCTCTTCACATCGTTCGAGTTACACATCGTCCGTATCATCGGCGAATGTGGGAAGCTGCGAGTCGGCGACGCGCCACCAACTTAACGGTCGTGACGTGCTTTAAAGTCGAATTATAAGTCACAGCAGGAGGAGGCGTATGTCGGCCATATGGGAAATTCATCTGCCCTTTTTTTCCTCCCCCTTCTCTACCGCCAGGGCAGAAACGTTAGCACGTCCACGAAATGTTGCTGGTGCCGCTTTATATGTTGAATTTTCCAGCATCGAACGTCAACATGCTCGCATACCATGAAAGCACATTAGCCAGCAGTTAAGCAGCAGGTGCACATTGCCACATGTTCCCTCGGGTGGCCGTATAGTGTGATGGTGCACACTTTGAGGGGAGATGCTGAAGAACACAAAATACCATATGTTTGTTTTGTTCTTGTTTGTTTGCTTGCTTTTTTTTTTTTTTGACAACGCTGCAACTGCGCCTCGGAGAACATTGGAGCAAAACATTGCAGCTGGTCAGCTGAAATAGCCAAAGTGATGAGAACGGTAGAAACTTTTTGATTGGTGTTTTCGTTCAAGTTTCTGCGATATGAAAATCCTCCAAGTCATTTTTGTGAAGGGAAAATTGCTGTGAGGAGGAAGAAAAAGAAACTTTTATACGAGTGCCGTTTTTGTTCGGGTTACTGCATGTGACTATTCGATGTACACTGGACAAATTTTACAGTTGCGGGTGACGTTCTTGATGTTTACTCCATTATTACGCACGATTTGGCAAATTCAAATTGATTCCATTTTTCTTGTGAGTAGCCAACTATTACTTGCAATATTGAAACGCTACATTTGAATGTTAGAAAAAGATGTTCACTCTTCATGACAAAGCATGTCAGACTGACCTGAGTGTGGAGAAAGCAGCAGACTGGATGTGGGGGATGATGATTTATTTCATATGGTGGTGCCTTGGTGGATTTTTGAGGGGGGAGGAGTTGATGGTGGCAGGTTGCGGCTCGAGGGTGCTTGCTTGAGGTGCCAAGTGTTTTTTTTTTCTTTTTTATTGGATGATAAGATTGGGGGGAGGTCTGCTGTGGTCCATGCACACACACACACAGAGACAGCATGTTACACCTCGTTGCATTATATTCATGAGCCAGCCAGCCAGCCAGCCAGCAGTCTGCATCTTCAGCGAGATGCCGTCTCCCGTGGCAACCCCCCCCCCCCTCCTCGTTTCTCTGTAGCCTAACAACATATGAAAAGCCATCTGTGTTTTGAGCCTTAATCCCCATCCATTTGCACACACCCCGCAGAGTGCGGAGGCTGCGTATGTGCTTTGGTCAGGCCGAAACAAAGAAGACAGTGGTCAGTCAGCAGGAATGCATGTGCTGCACTTCTTTGTCAAATGGCTTATTAATTATCAGCCAGTGAAGTAGGCAAACAAAAAAAAAAAAAAAAAAAAAAGTGTTATCAAAGGGGCACACGCCAGTGCTTTAAGCTGCCGGCTGCTTCATTTAACATGCTCACTTTACTTCAAAGAGGAGACGAAACACCAGGGAGCTCAAAGCTGCATTTTAAGTAAGCGCTTAATCGCCTGATGTTGCTCTCCCTCGAGATTGTTGTACGGAGATTGATTCTTATCAGATCAGAGAGCAGGCCGAACATCGGGGACTTCATTATTGTCAGCTCATGAGGGCAAAACAGTGTTTGATTGACAGTCATGTACATCCACTGGACAATTGATTAGGGAGGCCGGAGTGGTCAAATGAAAACTATTCAAGATGGCGTTTTGTTTACTTTTAAATGACACTTGTGTTGTAATCTGCACTGCATTTTATTGAGCGTTTCCGATAAATTGTCCCCTCAAGGTAACCAAATTAGAAACGGCTGTCAGTATGATGCGGTGCAGTTCTACACCGCTGCAAAGTCCAACCGCAAGAATGAACATTTTCAACTCTTTTGGATCATACGTAAAGGTGTACCAAATGTTGTGGCCAGTAAGGGTACCAGCTGTTTTAGGAGTGGGATTAAATACAACCCCCCTCGTCGTTTACAAATCAATCTATAAATTAGATCGTGTGGAATGAAAGTACAGACGCCATACAATCCCAAGAACAGTTTGTGTTTAATAGGAGGAAACAAAAGTAAGTGTAGAAAAACATTTCTCATTGACTTCAGTGTATCACAAAATAAAAATGACAGAAAAGAAATGCTATCATGTGCTGATATAATCACTATACAAAGGAATACATAGACAAAATCTGTTTAGGAATGTTTCAAACTTCATTAAGTTCTACCGCTGCTACATTTTAAGCCAAACAGCTCCTTCCATACAGTATCATTTCATACATTTGGACGTTGCAATTAGCTTTCATCCAGTAAGTAACACATCACAGAACAAAAAAAAAAAGTATCAAAGGTGTAAACTGGCACAGTATGTACTCAACGTTAGTACTCAGGATTAGTGCATTGCTCTCCAACATCACGATGAACGAACGATTTACGTCGCAAAAACTTAAGTCCGTCTGAAGTATTTGAGTAGTGATGACGAGCACCTTCCTCCTGAAGTGATTCTTCAACATTCAATGTAACAGCAGAACAATTGGCATCCAGTGTAAAAGGGGAGGGGAAACGTCTGCCTCTTCCATAGACTCCTGACAAATCGTGGTACCTCCAAAGTCAAAAACCGTCCATTCTGTGAAAATGTTTAAGGAACATTCATGTTATAAAAGAGTTTAAAAAAAAAAAAGAGACATAACAAAGATAATGGCAACATGTAGTTTTTTTGTAGAGCTGCCGAGGTACCCACATACTGAGTCATGGCTGGTCCCGAGCCAAAGAAAATGTCATTTAATTAATCCATTTGATGCTAAGTAAGCACATGTCTTACATAATCTGCATAACATCACATGATGGTGGTTTGAATTCAAAAATTGTTTGACTTGGGGTTTTGTATCACATTTAGTTTAGTTTTTTTTTGCTCAGAAGCCAAAGCAAAAATGCCTTTTCTGAAAAAAAAAAAAAAAAAATTCCAAAGTTCCCACTGTATTTTCTCGAAAATTTTGCTTGAACTCCAAATTGTAATTTTGGGTGTCTGAATACAGAGGTTCCACGGTTTACCAGGAAGCCACTAAATAGTCGGCAGATGCTATCCAGTGTGATATTAGCTTATAGGCACACACGAATCATTCCTGGCCAGTAGCGGGCGATGTATTTTGGCATAATGGGGCTGAACAATTAATCTAATTCAAATTGACATTGCGACGTAGTAGAATACCATTTTCAAATCCCCAGGACTGCAATTTTTTTGAGGGGGGTCATCTACTTCATTTTGGTCAGCTGACTTTACTGCATGTATGTACAGGTATATATTGCCTAGGTGCTAAATAAGTCCGGTCCACACGTTTAAATATCAATGTTTCCTAAGACATGAAAAAATGAAGTGATACCGCCATAAATTTGTTTGCATGATTGTTGTAATCTGAATTATAACCGATTTAGGTATGTTTATGCCAAAGTTGCCTGGAAAACCCAAACATTTATGTGTAATAGAGATGACATTGCTTATTGCAATACAGATTAATTTACGGCTTGTCATGAAAGACAATCTTGGAAAAAAAAATATCGCATATTAAATCGCAATTGCAATATTGTGGAGAAAAAAAAAAAAAAAACATTGCAACCGGATTATTTTTTAAAATAGTTCAGCCCTAGTTTGGAGTCACACAAGTGTGTGGCCCGCGACTTCATGGTCATTTTCCTTCATATGAAATAGATCCAGACCCCTCCACAGGCGCTCACTTCAATGATCACGAATTCAATCAGCCGCTTAGAAAGTAATAATATTCATTTGAGGGCAACAAAGAGGAATAATATGAATTTGATCCGCAAAGATTTTGCTTACTGTGTCACCACGGGAATGTCAATCTCAATGGCGGACATGCGGGAGCGGGTGGAGTAGCGGCGGCCGGCGTAGCTGGGTGTGTAACTCTGTGACGGCGCGTAGGTCTGAGATGGCGCGTAGCTATGCGAAGGTGCGTAGCTGTAGGCCTGAGTTCCTCCCACCTCTGAGCCGTAACCGTCAGGAGCAGAAATCTGAGACATGTACACTTGCGCCGGTGCAGGGGCAGCCACGCTCTGAATGTAGCCCTGCGCGGGCACGTAGTGCTGCGCGTCGATCACCGTGGGAGGATAGGCCTGAGGCGGCAAGGCTTGGGGAGCGTATAGCGGCGACGGCGGGAATCCGTTGGCTGTGAGCGGCTGGGTGGACGCGGAGGTGGACATAGAGGAAAGGGGCAACCAGAAGGGCGAGGGCAACTTCTTACACATGCAGTACCACATGAACATGAGCAGGGCGGCCAGCATCAGCCCCCCGGAGCAGCCAATGGACACGTACGGAGCAAAGCCGTCCGAGAATATGTCGTCGTATCTCTTGTTGAGCTCCTTGGTGCCGAACAGGAACCACACGGAGGGCGCGATGGCAACGCCGCCGCCCAGGAAGAGAAAAGCGCCCGCCACCAGGTGGCAGCCGGCACTGTTCACCAAGAAGCGGATGCTCTTGATGTCCGGATCGGGCTTGTCGGAGCAGCAGCAGGTTTTACACATGCCGGCCATGCATAGCAGCAGGGCCAGAGAGCCGAAGGCCAGAGCCGCCGGCACGCAGAACTGCAGCAGCCTCAGGTCCAGCTGGTCCACTTTGGAGTACCACTGCAAACATGAGACCATTGACGCCAAATGAGCACTTTGGTTGCTGGATTTACACCCTTGCTACCACCTTGCTAGGGCAGCATTTTAGAGCGATGTTCGATGCCAGTATGAGGATTCATCACTGAGTGAATATTCATCGATTTTTGTAGTACTTTGGCTAAATAGCATTTCATTCAACACATTGACAAAACATTGTGAACAAAACCTTTTTTTCCGACGATTTTCCGATGTGTCAGACTGACGCAGTTTAGCGCCAACTACTGCCGAAAAACTCAATGTTCTTTTCCTGAAGTATTGGTGCCTGGCATCAGAGCCTCCATGAGTACCCGATACCGAAAAAAAAGGCTGATATCGGTATTCCTCCATCCCTAATTTTAACACTGTGTAAAAGAGGCTACAGACAGGACCTGCCAGACGTACCTCTGCATCATAGTAGTAGCATCCCGAATAGCCATCCTGCTTGACGCACTTGGTCCACAGCCCGTCATATACGCTGATGTTCTTGGCGTTGCGATTGAAGGTGACCAGTCGGGTTACGCGCCACTGAGGGACTAACGCTGCCACGGACAAGCCGGCCACAGACACAAAGGCGATGATGAAGGCGAAGGCATTGGTGGCATGAATGTCGCGGCATGACATTGTGGTTGGTGTTGAGAGGTGCTGCAGCCAAGGAAAAAGTGCCCGTTGAAGTCATATGATTCTGATTCTGTATCTGTTTGTCACTTAAAAAAAAATACTTGATAGTGGTCAGAACAGTAAAAAAACATGGCAACATTGATTGTGCTTTTGTTAAACATTCTATATCCAGCCACACTGTTTGTGGAAATAGTGCGTGTCAGTTGGACACGCTGTTAAAATAACTCCAGAGAAATAAACTTGAATCAATTTATCAAATCAACTCATTGCCTCGCCCTATATTACCTGATGGGAAAATAACACTTTAATGAAGTAAGCCACAGGCTGACCTAACTTTGTGCCCCCTTCTTGCGTTCCTATTTACTGCAGTGTAATTGACCCAATATCAACCCCCACTGAGACAATGCTCTCATTTCATTAGCAAACAGTAACAAGGACTCTGTGGTGGAGGCTACTGGGAAAGTGCACCAGGACCAACTGAACAAAGCACAATAGAATACCCATAGAACCATATCTGTTATCATACATTTACAGCAATGCTGAATGTTTGAACTTGCTTTTCATTTTTTAGGTAAAGTATGGCCTGGGCCTGTAATATTTTTTGCATAAAATGACCCCTTTTTTCATAAAATTATTTGATCAAAGTTTATTTCAAATTGATTTACCTCACTATGTAATAGGTTGATTGGTTGAATATCAGCACACAAAAAAAGAAAGTGCGGCCTTCCCTTCGTAGTTTAAAAAATATTTTTTTTACTAATCAATCGGTTAATTAACTTTACGGGGCGCAGTTATATTCAAACAGTATTGAATTATAAAACAAACCACTTAGACTAAATAAAGTGACTTCATTTGAAATTCTTGACCTCCTTACTTAAAATGTGACGCTACCAAGTTAGCAGCGCTGAAACCTGTTGAATCTTCAACTCGTTTGAACATCTCTGATGCTAAAGACGGTCGCGATCGAGAGTAAAAGGCGCAACAAAACAACTCGGCTCGTACCTTGTTTCCCGGAAGCCTGTTGGAGGTTACGTTTAAGGTTGTGGCATGTCACATTGGCTCATTTTTAAGAATAAAGCAGATCGCGGAGTGCGGTTGAAGTAGCTAGCATTAGCATGAGAGGCGTAAACAGGATTCAGTGCACCAGTTTTTCCACAATGTTGTCTTGCAGGCGTGTCTTGAAACAACCTATAAAGGTAACGTCGTACGAGTACAGCCGGTACATGAAATACATAAAGTTTTCTCTTTACCAAAAGGCTAGGAAATCCTTGAATATTTGTAAACATTTTTTGTAAACTCTTGTTCCCCCTGGCATGTATTTTAATTGTTTATTTTAATTCATTTTAGTAGTTTTATTTTTTCAGTTGTAAAAATAAATCTTTTTTTTTTTTTTTTCGATGCTCTTTCAGAGTGATGTCCACTTGATATACAAATCTGGAGGCCCAGATGGACTTCGTGACTTCCTCAGTGGTAGGATGGAACTTGGTCAATAAATTAGTAATTGATTTGAGTTGTAAACCACTGGTAATAATGACCTCCTTTAGGTAACCTTCCCAAGTCGGCCTTTCCCAGTGCCCAATTTGCTGGCTCAAGGATTGTCCACAGGAGAAAGAAGAGACAGGTATGAACAAACTAATTTTTCTAATTAGTCAATGTCCCACTTGTGTGTGTTGTTTTTGTTCACAAACCTCAAATGAGAACAAGTTTTCCCCCACTCAGCAGCCGTTCACATTCCTCCTCTTCCTCTCCATGAAATATTTACATTGTGCGTCATCGGCGTCATCATTTCTTAGATGCTCTGAGAGCTTCCCTCATCTGTTTTTTTTTGGGGGGGGGAGTGAACCAACTTTATGTTTTATCACAATGACTCGGCGTCATCATTTCTTAGATGCTCTGAGAGCTTCTCTCATCTGTTTTTTTTTTGGGGGGGTGGAGGTGAACCAACTTTATATTTTAGCACAATGAATTGATATGGTGTTGCCAGGCTTCCTATGGCATTTTGTTCATTTTAATAAATGCGGGAATTCTTTGCAGGCTCCGCACATGTCACAAAGTGTGGAAGATGAGATCAAATACATCGAGTTGATGGTGATCAATGACCATTTAATGGTAAGTCATACAAAAAGGAAGAAGAAGTTGAATTTCTCTTATTGTGGTTATCATCAGACTTTATTTCTTTGCAAATCACAATAAAAGCCAAAGGAAAACGCATACTGAGAGTTAATGCTGAGTATTGTGAGATTTCCATGCGGTGTGACACTTACTGACGGGTTGTTTGATCTTAGAAGCATATTTTTCCAGATAATTTTGTTGATTTAAAGTTGGTGATGTGACTGTAATGTGGGTTATTTATGCACAAATTCATTTTTTTTCTTCTGGACATTTAAATGTGTAACTAAACTTTAATGTTGTTGGGCAATTTTTTTCCCCGCTCAAGATTGAGATTTAATATATGTTTATTTTTTTTCAAGGTCCTCGTATGTAAACTTGTGCACTGCATTTCTCAAGCTCTGAACTCATTCATACGTTGTATAAATCAGTAAATAAAATATAGATATGTATGAAAAAAAAGACTGCCAACCCACTGAAACGAGGCAGTTTTCCTCCCTATTTGTAGCCTTTGCAGTTTAAAAATTGTCAAATGTAATAAATTTACATTTAAATATTTTGAAATGAATTTGCCCCAAGAGGATGTTTTGCACTCATGTGTTTCTTCTCGCTCTCCCTTTCCAGTACAAGAAGCATCGCCTCTCCGTTGGCCACACCAATAACCATGCGAAGTCAGTAGTCAATACGGCTGACATGGTAAGAACTGAATTGATCCTCTTCCCGGAAAGCTCGCTTCAAGCACTTCCTGCCATTGGCGTTGAGCGCGCATCACGCTGCTTCCTCATTTAAACAACCCCGCTCTCTCCATTTTAACCCTTTCAGCCATCATGTAACCTGATAACATGATAAGTTGTCCACTGTTGTAGCCGCTGTCCCTGAAAAGGGTTAAACTGCCATTAACCAGCCGCTCATAAGTACGCCACTTGAGGAGACTGTCTTAGCATGAATGTCACTATTGGATCATTCATTCGTGTGCGCCGCTATGGAAATGCAACCGGCCGCCGTGTCACGGCTGTAAGTCGATCGCCTTGTGAAGCTCAGCCGGAAAAGGTCAAGATTTTTTGTCTCGCCCTTGAAAAAGATCATACGAAGCAGATCGTCTTTGGAAAGTTCCCATTGATTTCTGTACGGGAGTTGAGTTTCTTTCCATAGCTACAATCGCAGCTTTTCCTTCAAGCGACAACTCATAAAACTGCCGCAATGAATTTAGAGACAGCCTTCGAGAGCATTTGAACTGGCCCGCAATGCAGTTCTTCAAAACAAAGGAAACCTCAGATGAGCTACACTAAAAAGATGTCATCACGCATTATCATATTGTGGCCTTCGGAGGGCTTTAAATGACTGAAATGATCCCTAATGGGGGAAAAAAAAGTCCCCTACTTCTGATCTAAATCTTCATCCCTCTCAGCATCTTGTATTCTTTGAATCGTTTGACCATAATTCATGTTGGGAATCAGATCAAGTGTTTTCATACTGCAATATCCTGCTTTCCATTAGGGTCCTTCAGGACAAAGATTTAATAGCAAACCTTCTTTAAACTGCGCCCTCATTTTTTATATAATCTCCTTTGATTTCCCCAGATTTTCAAGGAACAACTTAATACCCGCATCGTGCTCGTCGCCATGGAAACATGGTCCACCGATAACAAATTTAACATTGATGATGACCCCATGGTGACCCTGAAGGAGTTCATGAAGTACCGCAAAGATTTCATCAAGGAGCGATGCGACTCCGTACACCTCTTCTCGTGAGTGCCGATATTATTATCAAATATTAGACAGTGACATTTTTCGCGTTAGTTCTAATTTATAAAATTTTTAAATATGTAACCCCAAAATATGCCAGTTTTTTGCAAGTTATACTTTCTTGGAGTACTTTTTAAACAAAATCCTACTAAATTCGAAAAGTATTGGCTTTACGCCGTGATGTCATTCGTATGCGAGACGTCAAATTTGTAATGAATGTCCTGTTTGCTCCAGTTTTTTTTTTTTTTTTTTTTTTTTAATGATTGTTCTTCTACACCCCCGGATTAGATTTTATCACTGTTCGGCTGCACTGAACACAACTAGTATTCGCATTACTTGTAGAAGTCATTAATATGACAGAAAACAACATATTTTGTGACATAATTGTAATTAAAAGGCAAGGCTTTTTTTAGTCACGAACACTAATATGAACAAAACAAAAAAAAATTCTGTATCGATAACCCCCTGCCACAGCAATGGATTTGAAATAAAAGTAAACTCAAGATGTGATCAAATTTGAATGTATAGTACTTAACCACTGCTTAATTTTTTTCGTGACTTTCATCGTGTTTTTATTCAACGTTTCGATTATCAGAGGGAACCGTTTTCACAGTAGCTGGGGCGGAGCTTCCTACATGGGAGGAGTTTGCTCCCTCACCAAAGGGGGCGGAGTCAATGAGGTAACCTTCGAACGAAGCGCGCGTGTAGTTGCTGCGTTCTTTTATCTGAGCGCCGTAGTATCAACGCTGGATTTTTGATGGTCTTCTCATGTCAGACTTAATCTATATTTTGTGTTGCTGTTGTCCATTTGTTTCCCTTTATCAGTTTGGAAAACCATATGAGATGGCCATAACGCTGGCTCAGTCCCTTGGGCAGAACATTGGCATTTTCTCTGATAAGAAGAGGATTCTTAATGGTATATTGTCCGATTTAAATCCATCATTTCTAACCCGTCTGATATACTGTATACCACGTATGTGCACCCACAATTTCTGCACCGAGGTTTTCTGCCCCCTCGCCCACCCCTGTAATCGCATCATCATTTCGGTCATTTTAATGGTTGAATTCAGATTACATTGCTACTTCTCACGGTGTTTTTCTACAGGAGAGTGCAAATGTGATGATCGTTGGTCAGGCTGCATCATGGATGATGTTGGGTAAGTAAAAAGGTTCATGAAGGCACTAACTGAAAGTCCCAACCCGCCATAATATCTCATTGGTAGAATTTATCGCATAAAGGGGCCTTGCTGCAATTAGAGAAATCACCAGTAGGTGTCAGCCCACGACCATTCTCTGTAGTCTAGCAGCTTGTTGCTACAGTGCTTAATGCCACGTTGTGGTTAGTGTTCTTTCATAATGCTACAGCCAACAAAACATGTAACTTTGTGTGTCATTGTGATTCTGTGCTGTGTGTTGATGTCAATACCCCCTCTTAAATACTTCTTGCACTTCCCCTCTATCCCAAATGGGACAGCAGGTGAGCAGAAGCCTGGCTAGAACATTGCTTATGCCCTTTTGAACCACTGCCTCGGCAAAATGGTTGTCACCCACCACAACCAAACGTCTCTGTTTGTTCAAATGATGTAAACAAATACAGTCTGGTGTGCCTTTAGTCCATTCCGATTGTATTTGGCATCATCTTATTGAACAATAACGCTCATCTATCTTATTCTGTTTTACATCAAGTGGACACCTCATTAGGGATACCTAATCTTATATGAAATGCAATGTCAATATTCAACCTATAAAACATCACACAACTCAGTTGTGAGGGATGCTGTTGCAAAGGTATTCATTACACAATTTGTTTCTCATTGTGTCGTGTAGAACCACATTATACCACAAAACACCCTTCAGATGATGAACAATCCAGTATTGTTTAACGAATACCGCTCTCGCAGCGTCGATCAGAATTGATCATTCTTTTCTTTGTAAGGGCAGGATTTTTGATACATTTGTACTTGATCTCATTAGCTTGTGCAGGTGTACCTAATGTTGTGACCTGACTGTATATGGCTAAAGTCAGTGGCCAGTCAGCTTAGCTTTAATTTGTTTTCTCTATTTCCTCAAATAGTGGCTGTCCCTCTATAATAGATAACGTGCCCCCAATTAGTCACTAAGCACTATAAAATTGTACTTTGTGACAACATTCTGGAATGACATAACTATGTTAAAAAAACAAACAAAAAACTGATTTTGCTTCAATTCATTGGTCATTAAGATGCGCCTTCTGGTGTTTGCACCATGGCCACCGGGGGGCAGTGTAGTACTGACATACGGATATATACGGAGACGGTCACAACTCAGTAGCGTTGTAGTTGTTCTTCGCAGAGGATAAAGAAGAGATTCCTGTGAGTATTGTCATATTGTCTATGTACATGTGTTGCTCCACCGTTTGTGTTCAGACATCTGTTGCTTAAAGCAGTGGTTCTCAACCACCGGTCCATGGCTTCGTACCTGTACGCCGCACGGATAGATAGAGAACGAAAATAATTTCTTGCATACATACGTCAACATCCACAACAATTTTGACCTGCAAATCAATGCAAAAAAAATGGCCAAATGACAGCTTGTATTTAAAAAAAAACAGAAATCGTGTCACTCAGATCTCAAGGCACCACTACGCATTGACCATACTGTTTAATACCCCCCTTGAATTTGCTCCTCACAATTTGAGCCACTATCTGTGGAAATACTGTACTTTAGGTAGCTTCACATTGGTCTTTTCATCCCTTTTCCATGTCTTGTCTTGTCCATGTGTTGTCGATTGATACTGTCTGCAATGTCAGTCTCATCCTGAATGACTCAGCTGGGAACTCTGACACTGTCTGCTCACACACCTCCTCGATTGGGTTCCCATCTAACACATCCAGTTTCGGTACACTCGCTAGCGAAGCCATCATGTGAAGAGGTCACGTGACAGAGCACTCTGTCATCTGCCTTCTGCTCTCTCTCAAATCAACTCAGTGGTATTTCAGACACTTCAATGTATTCAGTGAGCGAGCTCAGCCATGTCCATTGACGCCAGCTTCTTTTTTACTCCACAGCGCCTGCATGTTTGAGCAGCCTAACTCCTCTCAGTGTTCTGTTTTCACAGGTTTATCTACTGTGTGTGTGTGTGTGTGTGTGTGTGTGTGTGTGTGTGTGTGTGTGTGTGTGTGTGCGTGTGTGCGTGCGTGAGTGTGGGTGTG